TATATTCCAGTAACTTGAACACATCCTGGTGACCAGTGATGTTTTTTCCTACAATATAACTGTAACTTAAACACGTCCCGATGGCCTTTGACCCTTAAGGTCCTGTCTCACCTTCAGACATGTCGTTGAGCCCGTGCAGGCTGAGGGACAGGTGGGAGTAGCCCGAGTCATCCTGGAAGATGCCGCTGTCGGTTCTGGATCGCCCACGGATTCTCCGGCTGGTGTCATCATTCCAGCCAATCAGAGGCTGGTTCTCGATGTTTTTACCAGAACCTGAACCCAGACAGGTGCAGCAGGGGCTCAGCTTCCTCAGAACAAAGTCACTGATGCGGAGGTCGAAACACAGAACCACGATGTAGACGCCGTAGACGAGCAGCAGAGAGGCGGCCTCATACCTGACACCAGAACATACAGAACCAGAACCTACAGAATCAACACACTGCCTGGTTGAGCCAACATATTGAGCAGATTTTATTCTGGATCAGAGAACATATATTTATATATATATATATATGTTAATTACTTTATATTTGAATGTTTTATGATTTTTTCTCTAATTTCCAGAGAACCTCCTGGTTGTGATTCAGATCTGGATTTAGTGGCGAGGTCTCTCTCACTCCTCCTCCTCTCCCTCGGTGTAATCTCTGTTAATCTGGACCTCAGAACCTGGACTGAGCCTACCTCATTCAACAAAATAAAAGCCTGATGAAAGCAGCTGCCAATCAAACATCTGGACATGTGATGTCATCCTGAACAGCTGAAGCGACCTCAGGCCCTACAGACTGGTTTGGACCCATCTAACCTCAAAAACCTCTGCTCTTCTCCTGAGTCCAGTCTGGTTTGGTAAATGAAGCTGAACGTTTTGTCTCCTTGAGGTCATTTCTGTCGTCTTACGGTCGGATCGCTTCACTTCCTGAGCAGAAACATTTTTATTGTCATTATTAAACACCGTTCTTTTGTTGACCTGCCGACTGATAGCCGGACCGCCCTGGACCAGAATCTAAACGTTTCAGAACAAACAGTTTCTCGTGTCAGCAGTTTGGATTAAAATCCGCAGATGACGGTTAAAACATTTATCTCTGCAGCACAGTTGTAATGTCCGGTTCTCATTTGACCAGATATCCATCTAATAATCTAACAGAATAAAATATTTCCTGCCGTTGGTTCTTACAGGGGGCGCACATCTCGTGAGGAATGAATCGCTGAGTCACTTGGATGAAGCGCACACTCACCAGAACACCTTGTTATCAGAAATGATGGCGATGACGGCGGCGACGCTCACTCCGTACGCCAGGCAGTCCCTGAACAGAGGCCAGCAGGTGAGACGGCCCGCCTGAGCAGAAAACACAAGAAGAACCCGCTTCAACAACACGCCCTCAACAAACCCGGAAAGGTTCTGACCCAGGTCAAAAGAGAACATGTCCATTCAGAACCAAATCAACAGGATCCGTTCTCTATCAGGTTCTAAAATGATCCAAATCGGACCTCAAGTCAAGAAAAACGCACAACAGGTTCCACCAAGTCATTATTTATTAAACAGAACCTGGTTCTAGCCCTGACCCAACAGAACCTCCTCCAGCAGCAGAACACTCAGTGGTTTTTGGTTGTTCTCTGTCATGGTTCTGGAGTAGTTCTGCTCCACTCTTCTTTCCATCATTGAGGATTCTGCTCAGCTCTCTGTAGGCCCACCACAGCATCTCAATCAGGTTGAGGTTCTGGACTCTGACTGGACCGTTGCAGCGCCTTGGTTCTGTTATTTCTGACCAGTTCTGTTGTCGATCAGCTGCTGTGTTTGGGATCATGGCTCTGCTGGCCCCAGTTTGGTCCAAGCTTCAGCTGTTGGACTCCAGAACATGTTGGTCTAAAGAGGAGTTCTGGATCACTCAGTGACTGACAGGAGACCAAACCATCAGCCTCCACCACCGTTCTGACAGCTGGAGAAGCTGTTTGCTGCAGTGCATTCTGGGTAAACATCTGTCCTCTGGTCTGGTTCTGGTCCAGAAGTCTTGCGGTTCCTTCAGATGAAACTTTCTAAATCTAAGTTGAGTTGCCATGTTGTTTTTAGAGAAAAGAGGTCATGATCTTTGACCTGCTGACTGAGGTCTGTAGAGTCACTGCACAGTCTTACCTTCAGGGTGAATCATCTTTCTCTCTGCAGAACAATGGACTCTAAATGAACTTTGACCTTTCTCAGGTTGATGAGCAGCAGCAGCTGCTTCTCTGAGGTCATTGCTGATGTCTTTCCATCTTGGTGTTGTGTTGACACACACCTGTATGGTCCAGATGTGAGGTGGTCCCCCTGATGAGGATCAGTTGATCTGCAGCTCCTGATCCTGGACCTCTGAGGTCCAGTGGAAGCAACAGAACAAGTTTCTGTTTATTAAACGACTCGTGGATTCTGTTGCGCGTTGTTGTTTATTAAACGACAACTCGTGGACTCTGTTGTGCGTTGTTGTTTATTAAACGACGACTCGT